TGGGGAGCAATTCAAAGAGAGAGTTACCAGGGTGTGTTGGATCTTCAATTATACATTTTATTTTTTTAAGCATTCTGGCATTAAATATGTCCTCAATATCATCCTCATTGTGACCGATTATACGAGAGGCATATTTAACAATACGTCGGAGGTCATTTCGGTCAGCCTCGGTGGTGCCACAATACCAAACAGCAATGGAATATAAAAGAACGCTCTCAATAACTGACTTGTAAAAAATAGACATAGTATTTCTACAGACCCCGAAAGACTTAAGTCTCCTCAGGAAGTAGAGTCGCTGTTGCGCCTTTTTAATGCACTTAGTTGTATTTTCTCGCCATTTCAAATCGTTAGTTAAATAGATTCCCAGAAACTTAAATTTATCTACCATTTCCACAGAAGTGCCATTTATGGTAAGAGGGGTTATTTCTGACTTGCGCATTCTAAAATCTATGACCATTTCTTTGGTCTTATTTACGTTTAGCAGTAGACCATTTTGGTCACACCACTTTACAAAATCTATTACTTGGCCACATCGTTTCATTGTTGTCGTGTATCAGCCCGGAGATTGTGGCATCATCGGCAAATTTAACCATATAACAATCATTTATATCTATGACAAGGTCGTGAGTATAAAGTGAATAAAGGAAAGGTGATAACACGCAACCTTGAGGCACGCCCATGCTTAAGGTAATAGTATCAGAAGTGACCCACCTTTACAATTTGTGGGCGTTTAGTAAGAAAGTCAAAGGCCCATTTACATGTATTTATATTAATACCTAGTTCTAACATCTTATGAAAAAGCCTAGAAGGGATGACTGAATTAAAAGCAGAGCTGAAATCAATAAACAGCATTCGAACATATCGTCTATCTCTCTCGAGATGTTGCAGCACTCTATGAAGCATGCAGATTACCGCGTCCTCAGTTGATCAGTTTTGTCGATAAGCGAATTGATGTGGATCAAGACCAAGTGGGATTTCGGATTTCAGGTGTCCAAGTACGAGTCGCTCGAGACACTTCATAATGACGGAAGTTAGCGCAATAGGGCGAATCATTCAGTGATTCTATTGATGCTTTTTTCGGAATTGGAATTATAATGGATTTTTTGAACAATTCGGGAATTATATGTGATCTCAAGGACCAGTTGAATATAAGTGTGAATACGCTACAAAGCTGGCTACTGCATGTTTTTAATAGACGGGAGCTGACTCCGTCAGGTCCGTTGGCCTTTTTCGCGTTAAGTGACGCAAATTCTTTCTGTGTATCGGCACTCGTGATGACAAGGGGCGGTTCGGAATCACGCCTGGAGTCAACTGATGCAGAGACCTGTTGAGTAGAGTTCACGTAATATGTTGGATGTTGTGCGTCGAACCTGCTAAAAAAGGTATTTAATTCGTTAGGCAAATCAGCATCGTTAGTATAAGTTTCATTAGACTGAGGACGATAATTTGTCATGTTATTTAGGCCTCTCCATATTTCTGTGGAATTTTTTGACGAGACATCGCCCTCAATTCTTTTAGAATAATCAAGTTTGGCTCGTTTTATACCCTTTCTTAAATCATACCTTTCTTAAATCAATATAACATGAACAATACTAGGGTATACCAATATTATTGAAACTTTCCCACGACCAATTCCCATCTAGCAGCTTGACATAGGCCTACTTCCAACACGTTATCTTTCATTCCAGAGACGCGCGTAGAGTCGGAACTACAAACAGCTTTT